GTGACTCATAAAACTTAAAAGAAAATTTGAACATTGACAAATAATTTAATTTTAAATTTACGAAGTTGAATTAAAACTTGATGCCAATAATATAGAATTATAAATATTATAAGCAATTATATTCTTCATTAAAAATATTTTAAAATATTCCTCGCATCTATCTTATTCACAAAAATGGCTTGAATCGGGGATTTTAAGATGAAGAAGATTGTATATGTATATATAGTACATCTATATTAAATAATAATTTTGTTTAATTCGTAATAATTTAAAATAAAAATGGATAAAAATGAAGAAAAACAAAAACATTGAGAAAGATAATAGCAAATATGTAGTACATTAGTATATATTAGTACATAGTAAATATGTGGTACATTTAATAATTTCATATAATTACAATCTCTAAAAATTTTAAATATAGACAAATTTATAATTTTAAAAAATAAATTTTTATTCATTCACAACTTTTTTTAATTAATCTTTTTTTATAAAGTTATACTTTTTTCCTTTGGTGCGCTACTCGTTAGTAAATATAGATCTATCTGCGATGCACTTTACTGTGTGTATGTAATTTTTAGCCACGATTGAGGCTAATGTCACGAACGACGATGTCACAGAAACGCAGCATACCGTTTGTAAGATTGCAACGGAAGATGTGGTCGCGACTGCACGTGCCACTATTACAACAGTATTTTCAGGAGCTTGTAAAGCAAGTCAGTGAAAATTAAAATAAGTATTAAATATAGTTTAATTAGTATACTAGATGTATATTCTCTTTGCATTGTGTTAAAATTTTTACGATTTTCCAAACTGGTTTTAACATATGATACCAGATAAAAAAGAAAGAATTGTGGAATAATATTGCATATGTAAAGCTTCTGGTATCTAATAAGAGAAAAAATATCTATTATAAATTTAAATAAAGACGATCTTATCTTCTATTCAATGCCGAATTGAACTTTAGAAGTCAATTAAATTTTTTTTTATTTGAGTAAAGATAATCTTGCTCTTATTGTTAGTACACAGGAGAAGCTAATTGTAATTTATAAAAATATATGCTTCTAGAAGCGATGGATGAAAAGTTTACGAAACTGGAAAGAAAATTAATGAATGAACTTACGGATATTAAATGGTTACTTTACAACATTTTGGAGCAGTTACCGAATTATCTGAAAAATATACAAAACGCTAATCTTTATGATGGAATATCCGATGATTATTTGTCACCGAGGCAAGATGAGATTGATAAATTCAACAACACTGTACACAATTTATCAACATCAAATGGTTAGTGCAAACATTACGAATTAATTCTAGTACACATTTTGAAATAAAAAAATAAGATTATTATATGTAATTTAAATTTTTGAAAATTTCTAATGACAATAAAAAACACGTGTTTATTAACATGCAATTCATAATAGCAATAGTCTGAAGTTAACTTTACGCTCTGAACTAAATACAGAGTAGTTCTTCAGCAACTGGTGGTAAGGTAAACTGATCTAAAGTTCTCAAAACTTTGCAAGTGCTTCTGCTATATAACATTGTTTTCTGCAACACACATATGAATGATATTAGTTGTATACGCAAATAAACTTGGTGACTAAAGAACAATTTTATAGTATCTGCAATTAAATAGTATAGTATAACATCTCGAAACAATAACAATTAAAAACAAATTCTTCTATTCTATTTATATTGATTATTAAAATTAATTTTGCAAAAAACAACTTTTACACATGTTACAGAACAAATTTATAATTGTATTTTTCTTAAATATGAATGAAGCTATCATTTATTGCAAAATTTAATATTTACTATGTAAATATTATGATCATTAAAACTTAAAATTCTGAATAGACAAGCAGTTTCATAATTTAATTGCATTTCAAAAGCTTAGTACGAAAAAATAAATTAACTTCATTTTCAATCGCTTATAACTAAAATGAAAAAGTATAATTCATTTTCTAAGAAGCTAAAATTAAACACATTATAAAACATGATATTTTAATTTCGCAAGCGTTATCGCATAACGTAAATGTCATTCTAGAATAATGACTAAAAATATAATCCGGATTTTGCGTGTATAGAATTCTTCCATTTCTTGCATAATATTGCATTGTTACTTCCGAGTCTAAGCTAAGCATTTATATGTAAGAGATATGTGGTTTCATGCAAATGTAGATCTGTTGAAGGCGCGTTGCGGAAAGTTCGCCTTGTTCATGGAACGCGCACGTGACAAAGCTAAAGCTTAGTCGGGATAAACATGATTCAATCGAAATGAATGGTGCAACAAAGTACCAAGATTTATTTCGAGTCGCAATATGCGCGCGCGCGCGATTAACTCTGCGTTATTATCTCTCTGTTCCGTTTAACTAGTTAAAATGTCATGTAATCCACTGAGAAATCTGTGAAAGCTATAATACAATTGCTGTTAAATAATTATATTATTAGATTTTAATTATATTAATTAATAGTTCAATTGTTATATATATATGTATGTATTTGATAAACATTGATTTTGTTAGATGTCATCCATGAGTAAATATGTAAGGTTGCGGCGAACACACTGATCAATGTCGCCATATAAAAAATTATTTTGCATTATGTATATAACTATTTCAAAATTAATATACATTATATGTCAATTTAATGAAAAATCTTCTAATATCTTTAGATTGATTTTTTAATAAAAATTTAATAGCTTAACTGATCAAATGATATTTGATTTCAAATTAACTTTTAATCTTAAATGATTTGTCACAGTCAAACTCCTCAAATTATGTGGTTAAGCAAGATTTACTTCAAATTTACTGAAACAAAAGGTTTTGTTATCTGAAGCTTAGTTAATTTCAACTTAGTAATTTTCGATTTTTTAGTTAACTTCACAATTAAAGTTCCCATCAAATTTTTGATGCTGAAAAAAACAACTTTAGAGATATATTAAAAAAGACATTATTTGAATTAATATATATTATAAAGATATTCGTATAAAAGTTAAAGAGAAGGATAACATAAGACATCAAGGGAAGAAAATTGTGAAACGTTACGTTAACATAGATTGTTAAAGATTAAAACTCAAAATTAACAAGCAACTGTTATCTACAGGTTCGACAAGTACATTTGTCTATTACTGGCAGATAAAGAACTTCGACGAGATGCTAATGAACTGGCAAACCGGCCGCTCAATGCGCAGCCCTACTTTTTATGTGGGTCGTAGCGGTTATGCCATGTATCTGAAAATCACACCGAAATATTTTCCCGATGGAACAATTTTTATGGGGGTCGGATTGACGCGCGGCCGTTACGATGCCGTTCTCGCGTGGCCCTTTCCGCACAGGATTCGCCTCGAGGTATGTAAGAGCATAACGATGAAGTCTGGAGTTGGGGCGGTCTCGGGAATAAATCGGTCGAGTAAAATAAGATTTCGCAGAGGCTTTTCGGATTGTCAGTAATGCAATTGCGCGAAGCACAAAAGAGAAAGGACTTGCGGGCGGGCGGCCCTTCGATAAGGAAAAAAAAAACAGAGCATTGCGCCGAGATGTCCTACCAAATCTTCATTAGGATTTTGTACGAAAGATTATCGAAGGACGGGCTCGGACGAAACTTTCTAATGCGATTGAATGATTTCAAAATAAGTTAAGAAGTTGCGATTACATACGATGTTTTGTACTCTCTACTTGCATTTCATTATAAATAGGACATATCAACTTTGGAACGTCAAAGAATATATAATATAAAAATAATTTTTTGTATAGTTTTCTTAGT